GTGTGTGTGTGTGTGTGTGTGTGTGTGTGTGTGTGTGTGTGTGTTCGCTTCCTCTCATTGGCTAAAATCTTCAGGCTTTAGCAAACGAAGTTGACAAGACTATGAGTGATCCTGAACGGTTGTTATTGACTCGGACTTTGTTTACAGAGTGTGTGGTGGCGCTGCATGAGCTGCACACACGATTAATCAGAAGAATGTTATAATTAGGACTCGCACCCTGGGGCTGCAGCGGCACACAGAAACACTGTAGACATAATGTATGAATGCGTTTGGTGCACAAACACACACAGAGGGGGCCCTGTGTGTGTGTATGTGTTTGTGCAAAACGCTTTGAGGCACGCTGTCTTAATCGCAGAGGTTGTTAAACAAAAGTCAGTTTGTTACAGTGAGTTGGGGGGGGGGCTGTGGGGGTATTGATACACACCAATGCAGATGCCTGAGCGTTTACAACCATCCGTGAGAAAGCTTGTTGTGTTTGGTGTCAGATCTGATGTCTGGTGATCCTATTTTGGTTGGAGGCTTCACGAGTCCCTTCAAAAGTACATATTTGTCTCCGAGTGCACTTCTATTCTTCTTTACAGTGAATCACAGTCAAATGGCTTTTTCTCCTCGAAACATAAGCACAAAGAGGCTTTTTAGCTATTAGCACAATGCACAACAAAAAGAAGCCAAAACAGCAACTATTTTTCAGAGGTTTTTTTATTTTTATATAAATAGCAATGATAATGAGCTTGTACACATGACCTGATGTCACAGTGCTGTGTCAAATAATACAAAGAAAAAAGTCAATGGAATGAAAGGACTGCTTCAGTAAAGAGGAGAGCCTCCAAATGTTCGGCGATTGGTGGGTGAAGTGGCTTTGTTGTCACTTAGCTGGATAGCACAGCTCACACACAGCTCACTTCATGATTATATTTTCATAAATCTCGGGTTTTTTTCTGCTCTTGCAAGTTGGAATTAAATCACAAAGGTCCCAATCAACACAAAGTTGTGAAATGTTCAGTTTTGGCTTTGGCATTACTTATATGTTCGCTGTATTTCTGACATTTTCCAAATTTGGTTGATCTCATTTCCTTACAAATATGGTCCAGTCGTTACAAAGAACTTGTTGTTTGTTTTGAACTAAATAACTTTCAAAGTCACATGTTGTTTATTACTACAGTCCAGGGGTCTGCAACCAGTGGCTCTGGGGCCGCATGCAACTCTTTGGTTCCTCCGCATTGGCTCTTTGTTGCTTCGACTGAGAATAACTTGGAGATTGGAGAAGAGAAAAAAATAAGAAAAGAAAAGGCTAATTGTATCTGTTCTCTTGTCTAGTTTTCAGCAATATGTGAATGAAATTTATGTAACTGAATGATTCTATTAAGACGAGGAACATCAGTCAGTTTGTTCTAATAGTTTGGTGGCTAGTTTACATGAATTTTCATGAATTGAAGTCCGAGTGAGAAGTTGTGTTTTTTTTTCTCTGAAATCCACTGGAAAATGTAACTTTTTTTACATATTTACAGCAAGCTGCCAAGAGGAATCCTGAGCAGCTCTGAGTCTCACTACACATTTGGGTCTACTGGGTTTGTGCAGCATCTTTCCCCTGCCATCTGATCCAACTCACCACCAGGTGGTGATCAGTTGACAGCTCATACGGCTGCAGATCAGATGACAAGACTACAGTCTATCATCTGTCTGTGCCCCAGAGTGTCCAGGTGCCATGTGCACTTATGGACATTCTTATGTTGAACATGGTGTATGTTAAAGTCTTGAGGTTTCCTTTGTTGTTAGACACTCGTTTACTTTGTCTCTTCAGACATACCTGATATGTTCTGACGTTCTACTTCCATCTTCGTCAGAGATGTGACATCTGTTGTTCCCAGAGCCAGAAGGGCAGCTATGACACCTCTGACGAAGACTGAAGTAGAACATCGAAACATGTCTAATAACAAAGGAAACTTCAAGACTTCGTCACATAGGCTATAGACACAATGAGTTTTATACAGTTTATATATGCTTGGTTATGGACAAATCATGACAAGCACTGAAGTCCAATAACAGCACACCACCTGAGTTCAGATCAGAGAAGCCTTTTCTCCCAATCAGATCTCTCCACGTTTTACTGTCACTATCCATGTGGGTAAAGTACCCAGCAGAATGGTGGAGTCCCCATTTCAGATCGAACTCAGGATCTCCCTGGTTTGGACTTGGGGTCTTTCTGTGCAGTTTGATGTTCTCCTTGTGCTTGCATGGGTATCTCAGGGTATTCCAGTTTCCTCCCACAAACCTGCACAATAGGTTGTCTTCAGTGCAGCCTCCCTTACAAAAGAGATCTATGAGCTCAATAGGATTTGTCTGGTTAAATAAAAGTTAATTAAAAATAACCAATAGGTTCCAGAGTCCATGCTTTGTGTTGAGAGGAGCCCAACGTACCTCTCAAGCTCATAAACTCAGACTCCTTCCCTCCCAAAGAGGTGAGATTCTACATTCCAAAAGCCAGCTTCAGTAGACCTGATTTAGAGGGTCTTTATCCACTCTCCATAGCAGACTGACCCATTTAGGAACACAAGCGCATGTTGTATTATTCTTGTAAAACCTGATAATGAGTTGCATTGTTCTGATTTTTTATCTTTATTTCAGTCTTCAAGAAGGTTTTGTGGCTCCGGACAACTTTATTTGGTGTGGAAAGGGGTAGAAATGGTTGTTTACATTGTAAAGGTTGCAGACCCCTTTTGTACAAAACCTGAATCAGTGAATCAAAAGCATTTTCAAGACTTAAAGAGGAATGTAGAGTTTATTTTTCTTGTCCAACAGTTTTAAAGGTGAGGTTGACTTGAAGATATGTGATATTGCACTTGTGGTCAGCTGGCCGAGTTGCTGCGTTAAGTCCTAAACTCTTTCTGTTTCTTGAGTGTCTCTTGGTCGTGACTTGTGACCCACTGGCATTTTCTCGCTGAAAGGGGATCTTTAAAGGTTTTCTTTGACACTGTGATCGATCTTGCTTATCCTGCCACCCCTCTCCCTTCTTTAAAGCCACTTGTCTGCCACCCTCCACTCCTGCTCTCTCATCTGTCACTTTCCCTGAAGTCGCCCTTTGACCTCCTGGCTAAAATAACTACAAAAGGCTGGGATCTTCAGCTTACCATCTGAAAACATCAATGAGACAAGGGGGACGGAGAGTAGAGACGAGGACTAGTGGACAGAGGAGGGAGAAACGTTTGAATAAACTCCCCCTGCTGTACAGCTGGAGAGTACATTAGTGTGTCCGATACAGTAAAAGGCCACAGGTTTGTTAGCCTATGTTTGTTTTCTTTCCTCTGGAGTTCCTCTGCATGTGTGGGGTGTGGAGAGCTCACATAAATGAAGGTAATAGAACATGACAAAGCCCTTTTCTTTCCCATCTGCAATCAGAGGGAATAGTTTCAAGATATATGGGGTTTTACATGCGACGCTAAGATACAGTATGTAAGAGTTTTCAAACGTGACCTTGGATATAGATTTTGGGTTTGCTGTCCTTTCAAAGACACCACAGAAGTCAATGTTCTGTGAGAAATTGTCCGTGGAAAGTGCCTCTCTTTGTGGCACAGTAGATGCTCAAAACCCCACTGAGCCGACCTGTATAGCGCTGCTCTTCATCAAAATAAAGTTCACAATCAGTCAAAAGTTCTTGCTCTTTTTTGTTTGATCCCTTCTTTATGTGTATTTTGGTCCAATACTCCGTTATAATTACTAAGATTATATTCTGCTGCAGAGAACATGTCCTGATAAATGGTAGGCAATTTTGGTCCAAATATTAAGGCTTTTCTGTCGCTGTACACACACAAATGTCCATCTTATCAGGTGATCTCTGGCCTCAAATAAGGAAGGGCACCTGTAAAAAAAAATCGAGAAAACAGTTGTTAAAGTATTAGCAGTGCAGAAGAAAATCAGCCAGGATGATAATAAAGAAGATATATGGCTGCTATAAGCTTTGAGCACATGTTTTAGCTCTGCTTACATATGTCTACTGTTAGCATAGCATGAAACAGCAGTGATTTTGAGAGGAAGGTCAGAGCAGGGTGAAAGACGTGTGAAGAAATTAGAGAAAAAATAAAATAATCCAAGAAAAAGGTTACATTAGTAAGGTAAAAAATCTAACTGAAAAACACCTGATTCAAACACTGCATCTGGTTTAGACCAGGACTGAAATGTGAATTTTCATCACAATAAGAACATGTGTTTAAATACTACCAGAACACAGAAAGTGTAATAAATAAATCTGTTTCTTCTTAACAAAGTTTCTGTCATTTCAGCTGATTTTGTCCACATTCAAAACAACAATGCTTTGATAAAAGTTTCAAGCTTTGAAAAGTTTGAAATATACATAAAAGCAAAAAACGGAATCAGGCAATAAAACAACAAAAACCTTATAAAGGTGCAAATCTTTAACCCTACATTCAGTATACTGTCAGGCAGTTATTCTATTCTTCCCTTTCATCACAGTTTCAAATTTTCATCTATGTCCACAACTTTGAAAGACCCATACAAAAACTGTATAAAAATGTGCATTGAGAACAGAGAGATGTACATTATACAATGTAAAGAAATCTTACAACTTTAAAATTTTCCATTAATCATCTGTAAAATATAGCAGACATATTGATTTAATTCAGTTTATTTATACAGTGTCAATCCACAAGACAGTGCCCTTTTTCACTGTCCACTGTAGAAACATAAAAACTCACATCTACCAGATGCTTCTGCTGCTTGAAACTCAGAAATTTCTACAAAACGACTTTAATTTTTCACACAGTAACGGTTACTGCTTATTTTTCCTCTGTGTTTCTGTCTCTCTCTTATTAAGATTGCTGTCATGGAGTGACAAATACAAATGTGGGGTTATCATGGTGACCCTAATAAGCCCCTAGCAGCAGGTTTAACTATTTTTTAAATATTATTCTTTTTGCACTTTTGGTACAGTTTATACATCAGAACAGTGTTTTGTCAAAGTAATCCCAAAGCTTGGTACGTTTGAAAGTTAAAAATAAAATTTCTAGTTAAAGGATTAGTCACTAATCCACAGCTGTTTTTAGGTTTTTGATTTATTCTTATTCTCTTTTTGTTATGCATTTTATATATTAGTTTTAACTTGAGTATTTGCATTTTTATGTTATGCTGGAAAATTGCACCTCAAATTTTGTTGTAAACTATTTTGTTTGATTTTTGATTTTTAATGTCAAGAAAAGAAGTAATTGTCTAAAATTATCTAATGTATCTAAATTTCTAGCCTCTGATCACAAAACATGAATTGCTAAACTGTATGTATATGGATATAGAATTCATTAGACATGTTTCTGTTCTTTTTATACTTTTTCAAAGTGGACAAAGAAAAATACCAAAATGTTCACTCATCCTTTGCCTCAAACTGAACTGGAATGTTCTGAGACAATTTCTAAATACTGTATGTACTTACATTTAAAATGATTGCTTAAAGCACATTTCTACAGTAATTGTTACAAAGCTTTCAAAAATCAATAAGAAAACATTAATAAAAATGTTAAGACTTCTGTTTTTGACGTGAGACTTTTCAAACAAGATCAAAGTTAGAAAATGAACTGAGATCCTGAGGGTGTTTCCTGTGACATGCAGGAAGTGGAGAGTTGAGTGTCTGTGATTCCTAGAAGGGAAAGGGTTACCTGTCTTTAATGCCGAACAGGTAAAGAGGGACAGAAAGTCTCGTTTTCCACACTGACTGACAGTTAGCTTTGAAACGCAGCCTCAAAACAGCACAGCCGTGTCTGCTAGGCAACAGAGACATTACCTAAATAAAAACAAACAAGTGTTTTATGGATTACAGCTGTAATTTCCGTGAGGCAGTCTGGTGTGGTGCACTTTCTTTTTGCGGAGTTGGAAGCTGGAGCGGCTCTGTTCGGCGCTGCCTCCCCAGCTGACCTCAGTCCGAGCAGCTGTTTCCAATAGCCGCCCTGCCAGAGGCTATTAGGATCCATCCAGCCCCAGAAAAGGAGCGTACCTCTGCAGCTCAAAAACCCAGCCGCACATCAGCTATCCAGTCACACTGATTAATCACATCAAGATGTACCGTCAGGCCCCGTAACACTGCTGAACAGTGCGTGTGCTGCGCTTCGTACGCTTCAGTTCTTTATTCTGTCCATATTAAGACGTTTGACCGAGATATTTCATTAGACATTTGCTGCTCTCGGATATTAAGTTAGATATTCATTTGATACTTGCAGCCACACGAAATCGGGCTCATTGGGTCACCGCCACTCTCTTTGAAGGGCCCGGTTGTGTGGAGGTTGCCACGAGGTCAGGCGATGAACCTGATTGCCCAACCCCCCTGTGGACCAGATTGGAAACGCCAGCCGCTGTAATCATGATGTGACCGAGAATGACGCTGCCATCCAAAGTAAGATGGAGATTTGTTTGAGTTTTATTTGAGCCCTTCACAGAGTAATGTGAAGTGAAAAGACCCTCTTGCTGCAGCTGATCTAAGAGGGAAAACACTCTGGGGGGGAGAGGGGGTACTAACAGACACCGCCGTCGCCCCACTTCACCTTGATGGGAACTGATTTTGCTGGAGTTCGTATCAGCACTGGTCCAAATACTTCGTAGATGGAATCAGATCTGCACAATTAACCCCAACACTTGAGAGAGCTCAACGACGAGACCCAAAGGAAAAAAAAAAAGGAAGGTGGTCCTAACAAGCAGCTCTGCAGCCACGTGAGCGCCATGCATACAGAAATGAATGCTGGGAAAGTGTAGACGTTAGAGCAGTGGACCACAAAAGTGATAATCACACTCGCACTGTCTGACTCGCATTCAGTTGTGTGGCTTTGACGTAAGGACACAGATTCTGAAGGGTCTGAGGGTCATAAAATAAAAACACAACTCTGTGGCTTGACAGCTCTGTAGTTGATTAATCTGTAAACCCTCAGACAGGCGGCTTGTCACAAATAAATTTATTTATTTTGGTGGCTGCACAAGTTCTATCAGCAACCACGAAAAAAAACCCACAAAAACATGATGATGACCTCGGTGCATCATAAGACGTGTTTCATCAAAATGAGTCAATCTTTGCAGCAACAATCACAGAGCTAAACATCTGCATGGCAGATAAAAGGTTTACTGATCCAATGAGCTACATGTGTATGTTTTCTCCACAGTTGGATCCTTCTTTAGTCTCTGTTTGGGTTTCTGTCTCAGGAGCTCAGAATGCTTCAACAGTAAATTTGCTGGGACAGTAAAGCACAAAAAATTCACTCTTTGTTCTTGTTCAAGTGTACACACAGAAAACTTTTCTTGTTAAACCACATATCCATGTGTGTGAGGAATACCTTGCAGCAGTGGTGGTGGATAGACTAAATTTCATAAAAGTTTTAAATGCATATTTAACAAAATTCCTGCAATGATTTATTTTCTTTATCTGCCTACGTTACCATTTATTTTGTAGAATATGAAATTTTAGATATCTAAATTAATTATTAAACAATATATTAAATGACAGCAGATATTTTGTTTCTGCCACTTACATTTAATATCGGTGTGGCAATAAAAAGACAAGATCTTTTTGGTATGGACTGTTTTTATAATGTGGGCTTGTTAATTGAACCTAATGACTTCCTTTACTTCACTTTGTTTTTCTCCTTTTGTAAGTTTTAATGGAGAACGCATGAAGAAAGATTCAAGTGTTTGACTTGGGTAGTTTGCTGAATTGGTCCGTGTAGCTTTCAGAAAATGTGAGGTGAGAGTAAAAAGGTGATGCTATTGACCTTACTTTGTCCGTACTGGCCGTACTGGTAGGAGGCAACATGGTCGACCGTGTAGCCCGGCGAGCTGTACGACGGGGTGCAGTAGGACTGGGAGCTGGGCAGAGAGGGCAGGGCCGAAATGGAAGGGACACTGGTGAGACCCTCCAGGCCTTTGATGTGGTCCATGCGCTGACTGCAGCTGGCCGTCATGCCGGCATGGGGCTCCAGGCCACCTGTCAGAGGGGAGATGGCGTAGTCGCTTTGGGGCTGGTGTGGCACGCCGCCGGGGTTCAGCAGACCCATCACCTGATTGCAATTAACAGAAAGATTAAACAAAATGGTCAAATTAATTCTGGGTCGTATTTCTGTCAGAAAAAGACTCAATGTTTCCAGAATGTGTTGTTAATTAATTCAGTCAATGTCAAGCAGATGATGAAAAGACGCAGTGTATTTTAAAACAGTGGTTCCCAAACTTTTTATCCTCTGACCCACAAAATATTCATGGCAAAAACTTGTGACCCCAAATATTACTGGTCTGAGTACATGAACTTCGTTAATAACCCTAAAAACACAGGCTTTTTGACAATCTAAACAGCTTGTACACAAATATAAATACTTATTTATAGTTATTTTGTGTTTTTGTAATATTTATAGGGAAAATATTACATCAGCATTTATTTTATTATCCTTTAAATTGATTTCTGGAGATTATCCAAGGTGCTTCATGACCCATAATTGGGTCCCAAGCCCAACTTTGGGAACCAAAGTGCAGTGGTTCCCAAACTTTTCAGCTTTTGACCCACAAAATAACAGTAGCAGAGACCTGTGCCCCCAGATATTTTTGGATGATAAACATTTGTATCAGGTCAACTAAACATGGGCATGGAAACAATATTTCTATACTACATTTATCCATTTTAAATACACCAACCTCACTCCTTTGTAACAACTAGGGCAAAAATGTAATTAATTCAGAAAATCTTTTCGGGACCCCACTTTGGGTCCCGACCCCAACTTTGGGAAACTCTGTTTTAAAACATGTATGAAGCAGCTGTGTTTTTAACTGTGTGTGAAAAGCATTCAAATTCATTACTCAAGTAAAAGTAGATACCAGGGTTCAAAAATACTTTTCTTTAGAAATAGAAGTATCAACTCAAACTGTTTACTCAAGTAAAAGTAAAATAAAAAAATACTTAAAGTATAAAGGTAAAAGCAAAAAAACCCATTAAGGACAAAAGCTTAAGTTGTGTCACAGGGGTCTATACTGCACAACCCGATCTCCCTGAAAAAACTAAAGGCAATAATGATAATGTTTTATTAAAATGTTGACCAGATAGTCATTGTAAATGAAAATTAATTCTCAACTGACTTACATTGTGTTAAAATAAAGGTTTATATAATGTTGGGGGGAGATGAAAATTTCAGTTTATTTTTTGTATGTATAAAAATCACCAAAGCAAGTTGATTTAAATAATTACAACTATGTAAAACTCAGTTTTTTCCCTCCTTTTTTAAAATACAAGTTTGTAAGTATTCACTTTGTTGTTTTATTAATTTGATAAAGGAACCACTGCCCTACCTGTTTCATGTATCTGGATATATTTTTTTATTATTTTTTATTATTTTTAAATGATTTGGAATGCAAACAAGCCAAAGTGAAATCGAAATTAACATTTGTTACATGCCTGAGTTGGAATCTGTCAAAAAGTAGAATGAAAAATAATTACTCCAATACAATATAAAATTTCCACTCAAATAAAGTAAAAAAGTATTTGTACTTTGTTACTTGACACTTCTGCCTTTTAAAAACATTTTCAATCCTCTTTAAAACACGATATATAGTTTTAGTGTACAGGCACAGGAGGGTGTAAAAAGACAAACAAGCACTAAACACACAGAGGAAACCCTCCCCTTCACAGACATCAAACGTCAGCCAGCTCCAGACAGAGATAGCACCAGAGAGGAAGAATTAGGCAATTTGTCTCTGATCCATGGCTCTAATTATTGTAAAATTCCTTTTTGACACTGCTCCAAAAACCCACGGTACAAGATGCCGACTTAGCTTAAACGCAGATAAGACAAAGGAACGGTCTTTGTGAGTTGGACTCTGTTAAACTACAGAATAGATTTGCAGTTTCAAGAAAAGCCTTTAGCTCTTGACCTGGTCTTTATTAGCAACCAGATAATTAAATTTGGGGGAATATTCTTTGGCCTTCGAAGGACGGAAAAGAGCCGTAGGTCAAACTGTTTCTACTTCTTCAAAACAGACTGATTGACTTTACCGACAACTCCTGTGCACACCTTTTAATGTATCTGTTCATCATCAAGGTGCCCATTAATGGAGAACTGAGACCATCTTTGTGGTGTGACTCTAACAATATCTGCTACCTTTAAATGTTTAATATCCCACCTTTCCTTAACAGGGAAAAGGCCTCAAGGCCCTTCTAGCTGTCCTAATGAGAAGCAGGTACACTGCTCTCTGTGTCCTCTTGGCCCTCTAAGTGACATATTATTCAACATCTACACACACATGGTCTTGCTTAAATCATTTCCTAAGCAGGGGAGGCAAGTGAAGGAGTCCATGTTGATTTCGAGAGGGGAGTTGTGTTTCCTTCCATGCCTGGCAACATTTTCCTAAAAAATTAACCTGGATTTGGAGCAAATGTGAGCGAGAGTCAACAAGGAGCCATGCCATTTGAAAAGACAGGTTTCAGAAGGGTGTTTTTAGTTACTATCTGTCATTAACAAAAAAAATCTTTCCCATCATGCTTCTCTTTTCTTAACTTCCACCTGCTTATAGATTAGTACTGTATCGTGATGCACATTGGAACACTGTTGTTGTAAATCAATGCGAATTGGCGAGGAGGAACGTCTGAATGAGAATGAAACATCTGAAACAGGACTTTCCTTCACTGCTGTATGAAACATGTACAAATAAATTAGAGCCTTTGTTTTCACATGGAGGAAGACTGCGGTAAAACATTCTAGGAATTCTAAGAGAAGCTTCTGTTGAGGCAGTGATAAAGGTTAAAGTGTGACGCAGTGTTTGGGCATCAATTTCCTGGTATTTGTGTAATAATATTTTTGCACTTCTTACATGACTTCTTATTCATGAAGAACGGTTTATTTGTAATTGAAAGGCAAAAATAAAATTAGGATGACGCCATTTTTGTAAAACATTTGTTGACTTGTTAACTCAAAAAGTTGACGGATATGCTGCTCAACCATGTCATGTATTATATGTTGTTTAAATGATTCTCTGAATGTTATGGAGCTGTTTGATTATCTACACCTTGTGTGTGTGTGTGTGTGTGTGTGTGTGTGTGTGTGTGTGTGTGTG